GATAGAGGCTGGTGGAACCACTGAGACTATGGCCCCTAGCTGCCCTTCAGGTCTGAAACTGAACCTACACCTGTGGCTTTCAGCCAAACAAAAGACAGGCATATGAGTTGAACATTTATCTGAGGTAGATACACTCCTTGGAGAGAAAATCATGGGAGAAAGAAGGGTTGTGTATGTACATGGAGAGAGCTCAGGGCCAGGAGTACATGGAGGGATGGACACAGGGAAGAGGTAACTATCTGGAGGAAGTGGGAGGGGAGCTGTTGCATCGGGGTAAATTGTCATCAGTGTCATGAGACAAAGTATATGTGAACTGCTGTATTGAAAGTGAATTTCCTCTGTAGACTTTCACCCAAATAACAATTTAAAAAAAAAAAATGTGAGAATGGCAAGATTTTGTCTCATGTACTTTGGATATATTGTCAAGAAGAGTCAATCCCTAGAGAAGAACATTGTGCCTGGTCAATTAGAGGGTCAGTGAAAAAGACAGATTGCACATGAGGCAGGATACAGTTACAGGATTACATTGTTGCACATGAGGCAGGATTACGTTGTATTTTGAGTCAGTCTCTTTTGAGGTATAAAAGAGATTAAACAAGCAAAGATAACAGGGACCAAGTACCAGCAAAGAAAGAGCCAGGAGCAGTTTGTGTCCTTTAGACCCAGGGTCCTTATGCTGAGCACCTCTTAAACCCACTTTAACAAGATAGATTGACAATGTGGCTCCAACAACCGGCTTAAATACAGCAACCATTGTGAGGATGGCAAAAGACTGGACAGTGTTTTGTTTTGTTGTACAGAATGTTGTTATGAGTAGGAACTGACTCACTGGCACCAAACAACATCCAAAGTACCAAGGAACAGACTTCTTTTTCAAGGAAATTCTACTTCTGGGAATTACCTACAAGTATTAGGAGCTCTGGTAGCATAGTGGCTAAAGCACTTGACTGCTAACCAGAAGGCTGGCGGTTCAAACCCACCAGCCACTCCTCGGAAGGAAGGTTGGGCAA